GCCACGTCGAACCAGAAGGCCAGGCCGTGCACCAAACACACCCAAACACACCCCAAAAACACCCCAAAAACACCCCAAAAACACCCCAAAAACACCTGAAACCACCCCAAAATCCCACTCAGAACACCCAAACACCCCAAAACACCCCAAACACCCCAAAAACACCCAAAACACCCCAAAGCTCACATGGAGCCGATGAAGGCCACGTCTAACCAGAAGGCCAGGCCGTGCACCAAACACACCCAAACACACCCCAAAAACACCCCAAAAACACCCAAAAACACCCCAAAAACACCCCAAAACACCTGAAACACCCCAAAATCCCGCTCAGAACACCCAAACACCCCAAAAACACCCGAAAACACCCGAAGAACACCCGGAATCTCACATGGAGCCGATGAAGGCCACGTCGAACCAGAAGGCCAGGCCGTGCACCAAACACACCCAAACACACCCCAAAAACACCCCAAAAACACCCAAAACCACCCCAAAATCCCGCTCAGAACACCCAAAAACCCCCAAAACACCCCAAAACACCCCAAAAACACCCGAAGAACACCCCAAATCTCACATGGAGCCGATGAAGGCCACGTCGAACCAGAAGGCCAGGCCGTGCACCAAACACACCCAAACACACCCCAAAAACACCCCAAAAACACCCCAAAAACACCTGAAACCACCCCAAAATCCCGCTCAGAACACGCAAACACACTCAGAACACCCAAACACCCCAAAAACACCCGAATCTCACATGGAGCCGATGAAGGCCACGTCGAACCAGAAGGCCAGGCCGTGCACCAGCCCCGAGTGCAGCATGTGGAACTTGAAGGGGATTTCTATCCTGGGGAGGGAATGGAATAATTAATTAGGGATATTAGGAATAATAATAGGAATAATAGGAATAATAGTAATAATAATAGTAACAAGAGTAATAATAATAATAATGATAATAATGATTATAATGATAATAATAGTAGTATTGATAATAATAAAAATAGTAATAATAATAATAATAATAAATATATAATAAAATAATAATAATAATAATAAAAATAGTAATAATAGCAATAATAATAGTAATAATAACAATAACAATAACAGTAATTGTAACAGTAATAATAATGATAGTAATAATAATAGTAATAATGATAACGGCAATAATAACAATAAGAAAAATAATAATAACAATAATAATAATAGTAGTATTAGTAATAAGGGTAATAATAATAATAATAATAATAATAATAATAATAATAAAACTAATAATAATAATAATAATAGTAATAATAAAATTCGTAATTATAATAGTAATAATAATAGTAAAAATAATAATAACAATAACAGTAATAATAATAGTACTAATAGCAATAGCAATAATAACAGCAATAATGACAATGACAATAATAACAATAATATTAAAAGTAATAATATCAGTAATAATAATAATAACAATAACAATAACAGTAATAATAACAGTAATGATAATAATAAAAATAATAGTAATAACAATTATAACAATAACAATAACAGTAATAATAATAGCAATGATAATAATAAAAATAATGGTAATAATAAAAATGGTAATAATAAAATAATAACAATAATAACGATAACAATAACAACAATAATAATAACAATAATAATAACAATAACACTAACAACAATAAATAATAATAATAATAATAATAATAATAATAATAATAATAATAAATAAAAATAAATAATAAAAATAACAATAAATAATAATAATAATAACAATAATAATAATAATATTAATATAAAAATAATAATAATAATAATAATAATAATAATAATAATAATAATAATAATAATAATGATAAATAGTGAAATTTGGGGGTGATTTGGGATGTGAAGCCCCCTCCCCACCTGTGCAGGTCGCCCTCCTTGGCCTCCAGGAAGTTGACGGTGTATTTAACGGATTTGGCCATCAGAATCCGGATATCAAACGTGTCCTGAGGGACAGGGGATCAAAGATAATTAATTAATAGAATAATTAATTAATTAAAAAAATAAATAAATAATTAATTCTGAAATTATTAAAATTATTAAATTAAATTTAATAATAAAATTTATATAATAATAATAATAATATATAATTTATATAATAGTAATAATATATATAATAATAAAATTATTAAATTAAAATTATTAAATTAAAATTATTAAATTAAATTTAATAATAAAATTTATATAATAATAATATTATATAATTTATATAATAGTAATAATATATAATAATAAAATTATTAAATTAAAATTATTAAATTAAAATTATTAAATTAAATTTAATAATAAAATTTATACAATAATATTATATAATTTATATAATAATAATAATATATAATAATAAAATTATTAAATTAAAATTATTCAATTAAAATTATTCAATTAAAATTAGCTAAGTAATAATAAATAATAATAAGTAAAAATAGAAATAAAAGTAGGAAATAAATTCAAAAATTGGAATAATAAATAATAATGGATAAGAAAAATAGTGACATGTAATAGTAAATAATAATATGTAATAAATAAAACTAATAAAATGAACAAAAATAAGCCATAATAAATAAAATAAAAAAAATAATAAAAATAGTAATAATAAATAAAATAAGAGAAATAATAAGTAATAATAAATAAAATAATAACAGTAAAACTAGTAATAATAAATAATGAAAGAAAACAATAAAATGAACTGAAAAATAAAATAATAAATAAAATAATAAAAATAATAAATAATAATAAATGATAATAAAAATAGTAATAACAAATAATAAAAAAAGAATAAAAAGAAATAAAATAAATAAAATTATAAAAATAATAATAAAGAACAATAAAAATAAAAACAAATTATAATGAATAACAATAAATAATAAATAAAATTAGTAAAAAATAATAAAAAGAAATATAAATAATAATAAAAATAATAATAAAAATAATAATAAAAATAATAATAAAAATAATGAAACTTAATAAGAATTAGTAATAATAAAAAATATATAATAATAAATAAAAAATGGAAATTAATGATAAAAATAATAAAGATAATAAAAACCAAAAGTAAATAAATAGTAATAAATAAAAAATATAAAATGACAAGCAATAATAATTATTATAATAAATTAATAATAAAAACTAAAAATTAAATAAAAACAATAAAAATAAAAAATAAAAAATAAAAATTAAAAAATATTAAAAATAAAAATAATAAAAAAATTATAAATATAAATATAAATATAAAATAAAAATACAAATTTATTATTAATAAATAATAATATATTAATATTAATAAATAATAATTTTTATTAATATTAATTTATTATAAATCAATATTAATTATTAATTATTATAAATAATAATTTATTAATACTAATAAATAAATAATATAAAGATATAAATTTATTATAAATAATAAAAAAAAATAAAAAATAATAAAAATAAAAGATTAAATAAAGACGATAAAAATAAAAAATAAAAAGCAATAAAAAAAATAAAAATAATAAAAATAATAAAAAATAGAAAGAATAATAAATAATAAATAAAAAATATAATTTAAATAATTAAAATAACAATAAAAATAATAAATTAATCAAAATAAATAATCAAAAATCATTAATAAAAAATAATAAAAATAAAAATTAAATGATACAAAATTGGGGTGGGTTTGGGACCCCCCTGGTTCACCCAAATCCCCCCAAAAAAGGGTCCTGGGACCCCCCAGGGGTCTCTCACCACCACGGGCTGCCGGAAATATTCGTCCACGGCGGCGCCGCGCAGCGCCGAGAGATCGACGCCGTGGAAGGAGGGCTGGTACCTGGGGAAAATGGGAATTGGGGTTTTTTGGGGGATTTGGGGGATTTTGGGGATTTTTTGGGATTTTTGGGGATTTTTTTTGATTTTTTTGGGGGGTTTTTTGGGATTTTTTGGGGATTTTTTGGGATTTTTTTGGGATTTTTTGGGGGATTTTTTGGGGGATTTTTTTGGAATTTTTTGGATTTTTTTTGAGATTTTTATGGGATTTTTTGGGGATTTTTTTGGGATTTTTTGGGGATTTTTTTGGATTTTTTGGGGATTTTTATGGGATTTTTTGGGATGTTTTTGGAATTTTTGGGGGATTTTTTTGGGGATTTTTGGGATTTTTTTGGGGATTTTTTTGGGATTTTTTTTGGATTTTTGGGGGATTTTTTTGGAATTTTTTGGATTTTTTTTGGGATTTTTATGGGATTTTTTTGGGGATTTTTTTGGGATTTTTTTGGGATTTTTTGGGATTTTTTTGGATTTTTTGGGGATTTTTTTTTGATTTTTTGGGATTTTTTTGGATTTTTTGGGGGATTTTTTTGGGGATTTTTTGGGGATTTTTTAGGGATTTTTGGGATTTTTTGGGGGATTTTTTTGGGGATTTTTTGGGATTTTTTTGGGATTTTTTTGGAATTTTTTGGGGGTTTTTTGGGATAATTGGGGGATTTTTTGGGGATTTTTTGGGATTTTCTTGGGAATTTTTTTGGGATTTTTTGCGGATTTTTTTTGATTTTTTGTGGATTTTTTTTGGGATTTTTGGGGATTTTTTTGGGATTTTTTTGGGGATTTTTTGGGATTTTGTGGGGGATTTTTTGGGGATTTTTTTTTTATTTTTTGGGGGATTTTATGGGATTTTTGGGGGATTTTTTGGGATTTTTTTGGGGATGTTTTGGGGATTTTTTTTTGATTTTTTGGGGATTTTTGGCATTTTTTTGGGGTTTTTGAGGCTGAGAACAGGACTGGGAATGGGAATGAACGGAAATGGGAACTGGGAATGGGAAAAGGGAAAAGGAACTGGGAACAGGAACTGGGAACTGGGAATGGGAATGGGAACTGGGATTGGGAACTGGGAACGGGAACGGGAACTGGGACTGGGAACAGGAATTGGGACTGGGAACTGGGATTGGGAACAGGACCGGGAACTGGAACGGGAACTGGGAACAGGAATGGGAACTGGGAACTGGGAACTGGGAACTGGGATTGGGAACTGGGATTGGGAACAGGAACTGGGAACAGGAACAAGAACAGGACCGGGAATTGGGATTGGGAACTGGGAACAGGACCGGGAACTGGGAACGGGAACTGGGAACGGGAATGGGAACTGGGAACTGGGAACGGGAATGGGAACTGGGAACTGGGACTGGGAACTGGAACGGGAATGGGAACTGGGACTGGGAACAGGGATTGGGAACTGGGACTGGGAACTGGGATTGGGAACTGGAACTGGGAACAGGAACAAGAACAGGAACAAGAACAGGACCGGGAATTGGGACTGGGAATGGGAACGGGAATGGGAACTGGGATTGGGAACAGGACCGGGAACTGGGATCTGGGATCAGGATCAGGGATCAGGGATCAGGACCAGGATCAGGATCAGGACCAGGATCAGGATCAGGATCAGGATCAGGATCAGGGATCTGGGATCAGGACCGGGATCAGGGATCAGGATCAGGGATCTGGGATCAGGATCTGGGATCTGGGATCAGGATCTGGGATCTGGGATCAGGATCAGGGATGGGATCAGGATCAAGGATCAGGACCAGGATCAGGATCAGGATCAGGATCAGGGATGGGGATCAGGATCAGGATCAGGACCAGGATCAGGGATGGGGATCAGGATCAGGATCACGATCTGGGATCAGGGATGGGGATCAGGGATCTGGGATCAGGTATCTGGGATCTGGGATCAGGATCAGGATCAGGGATCAGGATCAGGATCAGGGATCTGGGATGGGGATCAGGGATCAGGGATCAGGATCTGGGATCAGGGATCAGGATCTGGGATCAGGGATCAGGATCAGGATCAGGGATCTGGGATCAGGGATCAGGATCAGGGATGGGGATCAGGGATCAGGGATCAGGATCAGGATCAGGGATCGGGATCTGGGATCTGGGATCAGGGATCTGGGATCAGGATCAGGGATCAGGGATCAGGGATCAGGATCTGGGATCAGGGATCAGGATCTGGGATCAGGGATCAGGATCAGGATCAGGGATCTGGGATCAGGGATCATGATCAGGGATGGGGATCAGGGATCAGGATCAGGATCAGGGATCAGGATCAGGATCAGGGATCTGGGATCAGGGATCAGGATCAGGGATGGGGATCAGGATCAGGGATCTGGGATCAGGGATCATGATCAGGGATGGGGATCAGGGATCAGGATCAGGATCAGGGATCAGGATCAGGATCAGGGATCTGGGATCAGGATCAGGATCAGGATCTGGGATCAGGATCTGGGATCGGGATCTGGGATCAGGATCAGGATCAGGATCAGGGATGGGGATCATGATCAGGGATCAGGGATCAGGATCAGGGATCAGGATCAGGACCAGGATCAGGGATCTGGGATCAGGGATCTGGGATCTGGGATCTGGGATCTGGGATCAGGATCAGGATCAGGATCAGGGATCAGGATCAGGGATCGGGATCTGGGATCAGGATCAGGATCAGGATCAGGATCAGGGATGGGGATCATGATCAGGGATCAGGGATCAGGATCAGGGATCAGGATCAGGGATCAGGATCAGGATCAGGATCAGGACCAGGACCAGGGATCAGGGATCAGGATCAGGATCTGGGATCAGGATCAGGATCTGGGATCTGGGACCCCTCACCAGAAGTTGGCCTTGGTGAACTGCTCCATGTAGAGCTGCTCGTCCGTGAAGGGCGCCAGGTGCACGTCCCCGATGGTGGGGAACATGTTCCCTGAAATGGGGAGGGGGCACGGCTGGGGCCGGCCCGGGGGTCCTGCTGCTCCCACAGACCCCCGGGGACACCCTGGGGACAGCCCAGACTGCCCTGAGACCCCCTGGGGACACCCAGAGACCCCCCAGACCACCCTGGGGACACCCAGAGACCCCCAGGGACACCTGGGGACACCCGGGGACACCCAGGGAC